CACGGCTCTGGGATGGGGCCACACAGCAGCTCCACAAAGCTGTGAAACCCACATGGGGAAAAAACTCTCCCCGAGTACACCCCATGTGATACCAGCCTGGAGGGGGAAATCCAGCATCCTGGGGTGGGAGGAGCAGAAAACACACACACACACACACACACACACACACTGCTAGCCCTGCTCCGCTCCCCCCCCCCGCATTTCACAACCCCCTGCATACAAGCAGGGGCAGGGCAGGCAGAGGCTGCACCATTGCACAGACAGCAGCTCGCTTCGGAGCGGTATTCGCAGCCAGGCTGCCTTGGGCTGTGAGCGTCTCAGATCTCACCAGCTAAGCTGGGTCAGTGCCTGGATGGGCGACTTCCAGGGAAAATCCAAGGTGCTTCAGGCAAGGTGGGGTGGGGGGTCCAGTAGGGGGCTCTCCCCTGCCAGGCACAGTGCTGGGGGGTGGGCTGTGCTACAGGGAGTGAGGTGAGGGAGGGCGCTCTGTCCTCTGAGTCCCCCCATTCAACTCGCCTTTGCCCTGGTGCTCATACAAAACTTGACAACCCTGAGCTGAGCGCAGTGCCCAGCCCGCCTCGCCTTGTGCTGCCCCGTCCGTCTGGCTGGCTCGGTCGTCTCTTGAGTCATGGGCTGGTTTGATTGAAAAATGCTCCCGCTCGCCCTGCGATCTCCGTTTGCTCATGAGTCGCTGTGACTCAGCCTGACACAGCCGCTCGGAGCGATTCGGGGACCGTCGGGCCTCCTGTGTGGCACAGGCCATCGCATGTCCCCCAGCTGCCCTCGCAGGGAGCCCAGGAACTTGGGCCGCACTGAAGCACCTTCCGGAAGGGCCCGGTGAGGGCCCGGCTAAGGACGGACAAGGTGTGAAGCTGTATGACGAAGCTCTGCTGGGTCAGGACTCAGGAGTAAGGTCGGTGTGTGGCTCCACCACCACTAGCAGGGCCTGACGCATGGACGCCCCAGAGAGACACAAAGGGAAACAACGGGACTACGGCACTTAGACCTCACAAGGGTTATTCCCCAAAGCAGCAGCATCCTTAGGAAAACTAGTTCCGCTGATTCCTCTGGAGGGAGGGGGGGAAGGGAGGAGCAGTGGAAACTTTCCAGGTGAGAACAAAAGAGACCAGGTGACCAAGGGGAGTTTAAATCAAGAAACAGACAGTCAGGAACACGCCAGGGGCCTTTTCTTCAGTCCAGGAGGGCGAGATCACCCAGCAGGAGCAGCTTCCTGGGGCAGCAGAGGCGTGCAGCTTTTCCTGAGCCCAGATGGCCCCAGTGATCCCGGACGACCCAAGGGACTCACGCCCTAGCCCAGAGAACGCCCTGGAGTGGTGAGGAAACTGAGGCAGGGACATGCATTGAGTGTTTATTGCTTTGTAGGATCTGTGCTCTCCTGTGCTTTACACGATTAAATATAAAAGAGAATAAATGTGTTAGACGGTGCAAAGTGTGAGTGTGTGTTGCCTGCTTCACAACTACTGCTTGCCCCTGAGAGTGAAACTGACCAGAAGGGTGTGTTTAAGTACTGGGGAGTCTGAAGGGTCGGCCTCGGGGCTGCACCCAGAAGTGCTCAACAGCAGGTTTCAATACTCAGGGTCTGCACCCGGCCGAGGGACCCTGAGACTGGGGCAGTGGCGGGACGCCATTAACACCCCCAGGGGATCCAGAGCACAGAGATCTGGATTCCTCTCAGCAGTCCTAGTGGGTGGCCAGGCTGGGGGTGCAGTAGGATCTGCGACAGGTATTTAGTCTGGCTTTGAAGCCATCCAAAGATGGAGAATCCCCAACCTCCCTTGGGTGTTTGTTGGAGTGGTTAATCACCTGCACCGGTAACGAATTGTGCCTAATTTGGTAGATTTTCACCATCAGAGTGAAGGGCTGGGAATTCCTGGCGGGTGGGGGGGCAGGGGCTGGCCTGGAGGCTAATGGGTCCGATCTCAGTGCCTTGATGGAAAATCCCCCGAGCAGCCGCACCTGTAAATTAACACAATTGTACGTGTGGGCAGTTCTGCAATACTGGGAACACGCCTAGTGCTATCCAGCCAGTGGGGCTGTGCCCAGCAAGCACCAGGTTCCCTGTCCCAAAGCCCCTGCGTGGTATCCCGCGGTCTGCAGCGGCTCACGACTGTGAGTACCGACTTCAGGGCAGACCGTGAGAAACAGGGCAGTCATCCAGTAGCAGATTAGCCAATGGGGCCCGTGCCCAGGGGCCCCAGACAATTGGGGAGCCCTGGAATAATGGGCACCCCTGTGCCCTGACCCACTCTGCCCGCCTGGCGCTCCTGCCAGGGAGCAGTGTCGGGGCGCGGGGGAAAGCCCCCACGCCCCAACCCCATTTCCCTGGCAGGAGCAGGGGGAGCAGGGCGGGGCTGCAGGAGGAAGGGGTGAGGAGGGGCCCCCATTTGCTCTGGCCCAGGGCCCCACTAAAGCTTAATCCGCCTCTGCAGATACCCCAGGCTGGTGTGTGTCACCAAGCTTGTGAAACATGAATTCCTGGAGCATTATAACAATCTTACCCTGGAGTCACAGACAGTCCCCTCAGACTCTCCAGTCTGTCCTGCCACCCAGACAAATGGACTCAGTGATAAACGGTCACTTACACCAAAACTCACACCACATTCCAGTCTCGAGACCAGTCACCTACCCCAGATCAGCCAGTACCTGGCCTAGATCTTACACTGAAGACAATGCCAGTAGCCAATCCTGTAATAAACCATCTCAAGGTTTATTAACTAGGAAAAAGGAATGAGCGTGTTATTTACAGGGTAAAGCCAGCAACCATCTGCACACAAATGAGTTACCATCTACATCCGAAGAGTGACCAAGTGGTAGTGATCTGTCAGTTCGAAGTATCTTTCAGGGCAGACCCAGGGGTAAACCCTGGGGGTCTCAGTTGAGAGTCTCTGACCCAGCCAGGAGAGATGGGAAATTGTCCTGTGACTTTGTTTTATTTCCTTCATTCAGCTTCCAAGTCCAGAGGAGGGTGGAGCTTCCTTGCAGGTAGCATTTCCCAGGTGAGATAGGGCCATTAACCAATCCTTTGTATTGGGATATTCCTTGATGCCCCATCTGATTTTGATAGGCCTTCTGGATGGGTGGTGGGGAGGGGAACCGATCCCCATGCCTGAGTTCACAAATTCAGAGCAAACATTTTCAAAGTTATAAAGTAAAACGTACATGTTTTCTTATAGCCTGGAACCCAGACATCAAAGTGAGATGAAGGCAGGCAGCAACATGCAAGCATTTCCTAGTCTAAACACTAAATACATCCTTAGAAGACTAACACCTGGTTGGAGCAAGATTAACATACGGGTGACCTGGTCTGGGCTCCGGCTATGATACTGCCAGTTCTTAGCTAACGCCTGCAGCCTGGGCAAGACCTGGCATCTGGCCTGGCAGCGTCACACATGGGACACACCGAGGGAGCGCTGGGGACTTTGCCTGTGCTGAATGGGAGGCGAGGGAGGGAGCTAGGAGGGTGCGTGGGGAGACTTTGGACCCTCTGGGATGGATGTAATCAGGCAATACAAGGCCTGGGGGAAGGACCAATGATCAGCAGCAAGTCTGCAGCGAAGGGGCAGGAGACTGACCCTCGCACGTGAGGGCCTGTGCCCAGTGCAGACGCATTGCCCCAGGAAGGCCGAAGTGTCAACACCCACAGAAATGCCGGGTCCCTTTGCCCAGCTCCGTTCCGACAGCACGGCACCAAGCAGACGTGGGGACAGCGTGTGGCCAAGGGAGCCCCTGGGTTCACGGGCAGGGTGAATGAACGCCCCTCATTCCCATTACCGGGCAGCTGGCCACCCTGGAACCTTCTTAGCAAATACATCCTCACGCACACGCAGGCAGGGCTAGTCCCCCCATTTACAGGTGGGAACTGAGCCCCAGGGAGACCAAGGGACGTACCAAAGTCACAGGGAGTTTGGTGCAGAGCAGGAACTTGACCCCAGGCCTCACAGGCTAATGCCCAAAGCCCTGGACCATCCTTCCCCTCATGTCACTAGCTGCTTAAGGCAGTGAAATCAGACGCTTCTGTGCATGGACCCCCAGTTGCGTTGCCACCACTCCTTCCAATGCTGGAGAAACCGCTGGCCCTCGCACGAGGTCTCCCCCAGTGAAAGTGCTCACTGCACTGGCTGCCCTCCATGCCCCTCCTCCCGCACTACAATCCTCTTTGCAAATCTGCTCACCCTATTCCTAGGGCTTCTGCCTGCGGGGTGGGGAGACTTGTGCCTTCTGCTGCCCTTCTCTCTATGTAAGCACTTCCCCAGGCCCTATCACCATGGTACGCGCCTCGCAATGGAGCCAGGCCAGGGCTACCCTCCTTGCGCAGGCGGGGACTGGGGCACAATGAGTCTAAGGGACTTGGCCGAGGTCACACAGGGACTCTTGGACAGAGCCAGGAATTGAACTCCTAAGTCCCAGGGTGGGGATCCCACCTGATCCCTTGTCCCAGTCCAGTGCCCTTTTAGCATTACCTGTTATCTGCACTGCAGTGGCGTGTGGGCCCCATCACGGAGCAGGGCTCCCTCGCGCCAGGCACTGTACAAACATAGAACAAATAAAGATGGTGTCTGCCCCGAACAGCTGACAATCTAGACTCTCCTTCTCCCTTTCACCAGCTTGGTGGCTCCCCATGTGCAGGAGGCAGCCCCCCAGCCCCGTTGCACCAAACCCACGTGCCCTGGAGTAGAGCCAGCAGCAGGCTGTGTTGGAAGCAGGCTCTACCCGTCCCAGTGGGAATGGGTCAAGCCAGGGATGGGGGAGGCTCCTGCTGGCTGGGACAGGGTGGAAGGGGGAATTCTGTACTGGCTGCCGGTGGCTCAGAGCCTGGCTGGGGTTGGGGGCTGTAAGACCTTTACTCTATCCCGGTCACAAAGTGCCCAGAGGCGTGTTTCTAGAGGGAGCCCTTTAGGAGAGGACTGCGCCCCGAACAAAGATGGCCGCTGAGCGCCGTGCGGGGCGGAAGCGGAGAACGGGTCCGTCCGGAATAGCCCTCCCCGGGCTGCCGGCCCGTAGCTGAGCCGGGGCCCGATGAGCAAGGCGTGGCGGAGAGGGGGCGCCCCCGGCGGCAGGATGGAGGGGGCCGAGGCGGGTGAGGAGCGAGCGTGGTCCCCAGCCCCCCTCCCCCCCGGCCGCTACCGACACCTGGGGCTCGGGGTCCCCCCCCCTCCCAGGCACGTCTCGGGCCGCCGGCGCCGGCCGGGGGGGCGGGGGGGGCGGGGGGGGGGGGGGGGGGGGGGGGGGGGGGGGGGGGGGGGGGGGCGGGGGGAGCTGGGGGGGGACTGCTGGGGGGGCGGGCCCCGGGGGTTAGATATGCCCTGCTCTTGCTCCCCACCCCAGCCCTGGGGCCCCAGCCCCCGGCTAAGCAGAGCTGGGGTGGGAGCGGGACAGGGGCCATAGGAGCTGGGGCGGGGGGCTGTTGGGTCTCATCCCCTCCCCTGGGGAATCAGGGCGGCTCGTCCCTTCAGCCTGGTGCCCGGCCCCCCGGGAATGCCCCAGGCCCGGTGCCCCTGTGCCGCCCGTGGGCAGCGAGGTGACGTGAGCGTCTGCGCGTGTCCCCAGGGGACCAGGACGAGTCCAGCGGGCACGGTTCCCACAAGAAGAAGCACAAGAAGCACAAGAAGAAGCACAAGAAGAAGCATCACCATGAGAACGTGGGCCCCAGCTTCTCCTCCGAGACCCTGGAGTCCAGCCCCTTGCTCCCCAAGCCCCAGCTCAAGCTCAAAATCAAGCTGGGGGGGCAGATTCTGGGCACCAAGAGGTAAGGGGGGGCCCCAGCGTCTGCTCTGGGTGACGGGGGCGCTGGGAGGGATGTGCGACGTTTTCGGGGCCAAGACTTATATTCCAAAATAGGAGTCGCCGTACTGGCGAGACCATGGCCAGGATCCATGCCTGGATCAGACCAGCCTGGTCTCTCTCCAGGCCCTATCGGATGAGCAGGCCCCCCTCGCCCTGTGTTCCCACCCTGCCTCCACTCCCCAGAATAGACCAGTGGGCCCCCTGCCCTGGAGCTGTACAGTGGCCATGCTGGTGTTGTGCCGGAAGACGCACACCCACAGGTCCTAGTGCGGCTCTGTGGACGTGCAAGCTCTGCTGCACCCTAACGCGCAGGGTTTGTGGGCTGTCTCTCCAGCGTGCCGACCTTCACGGTGATCCCCGAGGTGCCGCGCTCGCCTTCCCCTCTGATGGTCGTGGACGATGAGGACGAGCCCATGGAGGGGGTCCCCATTGAGCAGTATCGGGCCTGGCTGGGTGAGTGCTAAAGGAGGAGATCCTCGCTCCGCAGCATTCCCAAACAGCAATCAAGGAAGCCCAGCCCCTGAATAAGGGTTGGGAGGGGCCCCCGGGGCAGCCGCATGGCTGGGGTGAGGCCCCTGGGGCAGGGAGGTATCAGGCGATCCCACATTCACCCGGCTAAGCTCTAAGTGCTCTCGTTTCCCTCCCATAGGCAGTAACAAAATAGCTGTAAACAGCTTTGGGGGACCCCAGCTTCTCCCCCGTGCTGGGCTGCCCCAACTGTCTGGCTCTAGAAGGCCGGAGGCTGTTCCCTTGACTCTGTTCCGGCTTGGCTGGTGAGGCTGTGGGTGCTGCCCGGGGAGCCAGGGCTGAGCTCTGCTGTGCTCTGGGGTTTCCCCTGGTGGGAGCGAGAGACAGAGGAAGTGTGCAGCCAGGTCCTAGTCGGGGTCTGTTGGGGCGTCCGCCCCTGGAGAGAACAGTCCCTTGGGAGCAGGCCAGCCACTGGGAGTTCCAGGGGGCCCAGGAGAGGTGGTAACACACTGTCTCCCTGCCGGGGCTGCGCAGATGAAGACAGTAACCTGGACCCATCGCCCCTGCCGGACCTGGACTCGGAGAGCTGCTTCCCCGCCCGCGAGGACGAGGAGGAGGAGCGCTGGCTGGATGCGCTGGAGAAGGGCGAACTGGACGACAATGGCGAGCTCAAGAAGGAGGTGGATGAGTCGCTGCTCACGGCCAGACAGGTGAGGGGGGCTGGGAGCCCTGTAGGGGTCAGTCCCTCCCTCCCAGGCGGGTGCCTGCGGCCCACGTGCGCAGGGTGGTGGCTGCGATGTGCAGGGGTTGTGGCTGCAGCGGCCTGCTTGGTGCAGAGAGGAGCCGGGGTAGCACAGAATCCCCTGTGCCCAAAACTCTCCCATGCGTGGGGCTTCAGAGCCCGTGTCCTGCCGGGCTCCCTGCCTTCACTGCACAGGGAGGCCCTGATACACGCACACTCCCCAGAGCCAGCCAATCTCCCCCCAGCTGGGGCGGGATTGGAGCCCCTCCCTCAGACAGTGCATTGGGTCTGACCGTCCCTCGTGCTCTGTGCCCCCCCGCAGAAAGCCCTCCTGCACAAGCAGCAGAGCCAGCCGCTCCTGGAGCTGCCAATGGGCTACAAGGCGAAGGAGATGACGGAGGAGATGCTGGTGAAGCGGGAGGAGCGAGCCCGCAAGCGGCGCCTGCAGGCGGCCAAGAAGGCGGAGGAGAACAAGAACCAGACCATCGAGCGCCTCACCAAGACCAACAAGGCCAAGGTGAAGACGCTGCGGGAGCGCAAGGCCAAGCAGGCCCCGTGCCCCATGATTCGCTACTGCAACGCCGCGGACCGGATCACCGTGTCCTTCCCGCCCGGGGTCACGCTGCCCCTGCCGCCCTGTGCGCCCCCGCCCGTGCCTGCACCCACCACCTGCGGGGTCAGCGGCTGCCCCAACCGCAAGCGGTACTCCTGCTCGCGCACCGGCGTGCCCCTCTGCAGCTTCGCCTGCTACCAGAAGAACCTGCAGCTGCAGGAGGCGGTCGGCTAGGGGTCCTGGCGCTGACCCTGGCCAGGCGCCACCTCTTCGAGGGCTTGGCTGAAGATCCCTGCGTCCTTCTGGGGAGGCCCAGGGGGGACGTTCACTCTCCATCAGCTCAGGACGCAGCTGCTGCCCTTGTGACTGCGAGCTGAGGACCCTGGCGTCCGGGACTCCTACTGGGACTGGCTCATTCCTTGAGAGCTGAGTCATGTCTGAGCCCAGAGTCTGCCCCAGGCCGGCCTGGGGGCCCCAGTGCAGCGTACATGGCTCCATGCAGCCTGGCCTCCCCATGTCTCTCCCACCCTCCCAGGTGACTGGGAGGGATGGGAAACAGCCCACGCTGGGCCTGGGCTTGGCCGCATGGTGTCTCCAGGCCCTGCCACGAGGAGGCGTATCCCGCCCTTCGGTGCCTGTCTGCACGGCTGAGCTCTGCTGTGCTTGGGGGAAGGAGGAGCTTCTTCCAGCTGTCAGTGGAAGGACTGGCTGGGCCCCTACACGGCGGAGCTGTTAGCTCTCCTCCGTCCCAGTCTAGGAGAGGTGAATCAGCCAGCCCCATTGGCTGGGGCGAAAGTCTCTGCTGGATGTGCTCAGAGAGCCCCTCCCCCCAGGGCGGGTGTTGTGGGGCCGGGGGAGGCCCTCGGGGATGTGGGTGGTCCCCCTGCTGCCACTCACGCTCAGTAGCTATTGATGTGGGGAGGCAGTTGAGTGGGGTCCAAGCAGATGGAGGAGGTCAGGGCTGCCTGGGCCTGGCTCGCTGCCTCCTCCTGGCTGAGCTGTGTCACTGCAGCTCTCCAGACCACAGCGTGTGTGCGTGGGAAGGTGGGATGCTGCAGGCCCCTTCGTGCCCTCCCGCTCTGCTCTCCTTGGGGCCGGGGCTTTGGGCCCAGGAACGCTCGTTACCTGTAACATTCATTAAACCCCACAGTACAGAGGGAAGATCTGTCGCTCCGGTGGGAGCCTCTCTTTGATCTCGGGGCTGGGCTGGTGGGTCGTGGGGGGGAGGCCTGGGCTCTCAGGTTCTGTTGGGGAAGGCAGGCTGGTCTCTGCTCCATGCACCCAGCCTGTGACCTCGGCCACCCCACTTCCAGAGCCCCTTGTACCAGGCCCCAGGGGACACTTCCAGAGCCCCCTGATTTCATCATCAGGTCCCCTGGGGGAGCGGCCGGGGCAGTAAGTCTTGTTGCTAAGGCCCAGGCTGTGGGGCCTGGTCCCAGAGCCGAGATGTAGCCAAGGGTCGCTCCCCTCTGAGCTCGCCCAGTGTCATCCACTCGCCTCCTGGCTCCTGCCGCTGGGCTTGACCTGGCCCGTGGCCCAGGCTGGGATTCCCACCTCGTGCTCCGAGCTCCCTCTGCTGGGGCCGTGTCCCAGGAGAGTCGCACTCTTGGGTGCACATGAAGTATCGTCCTAGAGCTGCAATTCCTCACTCTTCCCCTCGTCCTGCGCCTGGGCTGGCAGCACCTCTGCCCCCTCGCCGGGCCCAGCAACCCTCTGCAGAGCACTCGGTGTGGGAAGTCCTGGGCTGGCAGCGCCTCCCCCAGCTCCCCCGCACCCAGCAACCCTCTGCAGAGCACTCGGTGTGGGAAGTCCTGGGCTGGCAGTGCCTCCCCCAGCTCCCCCGCACCCAGCGACCCTCTGCAGAGCACTCGGTGTGGGAAGCCCAGGGCTGGCAGCACCTCCCCTGCACCCAGCGACTTCTGGAGTGTAGCTTTTGGGCTTAGGGCTGGCAGCCCTGGTGCTAATGGGGACCCTACAATAACACAGCTGTGTGCAGCATTCCGAACAAATGGTTTTACCCTCCAGCGTAGCAGGCTTCCCTTCCCCGCGTACGGCCGCCTGCAGCACTGTGGGGGGGATCAGGGGCTTTGGGGCACCAGGCCAGCTCTTCGCAGGAAGATGCGAGAGGGTCCTCCACCCCCATTGGACTGTTATGGACCAAGCTGTTCAAAGGAGAAGCGCCTTCCTGTCCCGCAGTTAGGGGCTCAAAGTGGTCAGGGATGGCTCGGGCTGAGCTGACCCCAGCCCCCACCCTGTCCCTGGTGCAGATGTAGGTCAACACCCTTAACGTTCGTGAGCTAACCTTGAGCTCAGCCTCCTCCCCAGTCTGTACAACCCCCCCGGCTGCCATCTGCCTGTCCTTCCTAACCCACCTCATCCCCTCGGGAGTAGCAGGGGAGCGGCTCGGTGCCTATAGACACGGCCATTCCTTCTTGCCTGCTTCCTGCAGAGCTCCTGATTTCAGTGGCACCCTGGGGCAGGGAGTTCCCCAGGACAACGGGGGGATGTGTGTTTCCTTGGAGTGATTTGTCCTTGGATTGCATTGTCATCTCTCCTCAGACAGGGGTCTCTCTGGCCCCAGCGGGAACCCCCTTGGCTTCTGCTCTGTCCTTTCCCCAAGCTGGCCTGACCAGAACTGGACCCCAGGGCAGGGCGGCCCACCAGTTTATCGAACGCCACTAGCCCGGTTTGCCTGTTATCCTCCCCCCGCCATTCTCTCTGCACCCCGACAGCTCGTTGGCTGCTGCACTCTGAGCTGAGCTGCCTGTGGTGCCAGCAGGTCCTGCCCCCGAGAACTGAGCCCCCAGAAAGGGCATGAGGAGGTCAGATTAAACCCTCCAGTGGGCCTTACTTGGCATCTCTCAGCCCTGAATCCCAGGTGCTGCCTCTTCTCCTGGCTGGCTCTGAAGTTCCTCATGGGCTTCTCTGTCCTACAGCCTCCTACCACAATCGGGTGGCCCGGCTGCCTGGCCCTTCCGGCAGTTTATGTGGGTTGCAAAGAGGAAGGACAGAAACTTTTCTAAATAAAGGGCTGCTTCCCCTGCAGTTTCTGGCTGCTGTAGCCCGGGGCTGGGCCCAAGCTGGCTGTGTGCGTGTTGGGGGGTGGTGCGCTCCAGGGACCTGGCTCCGAGCCCGGCTGGGTGACAGCATGCCCACCTCGCCCCTTCAGGCTGCTTGGCCCATTGCAGACCCAGACAGGCCAAGGCAGCAGGTGGCAAACATCAGATCCAACAGAGGCACCTCAGGTAAACCAAAGTCATCTAAGCTCAGAAACCAGAGCCAATGCGAACAGATTTTATGCTCGTTAAGACCACCACAGAGCAAAGGCTTCCCACTAGCGCTCGCCGAGACCTGTCCCAGGACATGTCACCGTGCATGGTGACAAGGTCACAGATGCAGAAGCCCCCGTCTCCCCCCTCTCCCTTGGACTCTCGCAGGTCACCTCTGCTCCCACCCACCAGCCAGTCACGCCTGGGCCCTGCTCTGCAGTTCCGCTGTCAGTGTCGAGGACATCACAGCCCAGCCACTGCCCTGACCATCCCCTCACTAAGGTACGGCCAGCGCTCTCCCAGCTCCCCAGCAACAAGAGCCATGACTCACCACAAAGACTTCACCAAATCCCTCCAAGCCTCTGCTGAGACTATGGGTGGCGTGTGAACTCGGGGAGGCTAGCTCCCCCCACCCCTGCAGCTGCCGGTTCCCCAGCCCCGGGCCACCCGAGCACCTCCAGCCCAGAGCGCTGGGCGGCGTGAGCAGCGGCCCCATCTACCTGGGCCACAAGCCCCCAGCCCAGCCATGGGGGAAGACAGGCAGAAGGAGGGGACCTGAGGGTGGAGCATGGGCGGGGCCACGCGGCTGTTTGGGGAGACTCAGCCTCCCCTGGCCTGTGATACCTGCCGCCCATGGCTGAGGCTGTATTCCAGGCCAAGAGAACCTGGTTTCAGCTCCCACCAGCGGTTCCTTGGCCAGGAGCTGATCTCACCCAGGCAGTGGGCCCAGCTGGGCACGTGCTGTGGTCGTGCATGAGGACGGGTAAATAGAGCTGTCACCTGCATATCACTGACAGCTGAAACCCAGCGAGATGGAGGTGCCGCTGGCGGGCAGAGGAAAGCACTTTGAAGAGTTTGCAGCCATGGCATAGTCCCCGTTAGTGGAAAGTTCATGCCCACAATTGGTTGGTTCAGTCTGTAGTTTAGGGGGCCCCTAGATTCCTCTTTGGAGCTGAACTGTCCCATAACAGCACTCACAAATAAAGCTTTTTACCCGCTCTGGCTGGCTAGGAGACGCCAGTGACCTGGGCCTGGTTAGACAAGCCTGTGTCACCTCCCAGGGGACTACAGCAACACAACATCACTGGGCGTGAAGCCACCACTTTAGGAAACTCCAGCTGCTACGGAAGACTGCAAAGCATCTGCCCAGCAGGTCTGTCCTTGGCTCTCTGCACTGGCTTCCCATAGCCTGCGAATCAAGTTCAAGGTTTCAATCCTTGTCTTCAAGGTACTCAATGATCTGGGCGCAGGATGGGAAGAGATCCCTGACGTCTCTGGGAGGAGGAGAACTCTACTCCACTGGCACAATGGGCCTCTCTACAATCAGGGTAAAGCTCATCTGTTCCTGGGGCCAATCCTGTGCCATGAACATTCCCAGACAGCAGCGGGGGATATGCCTGTATCAACTTGTGAAGTGTTCTGTGCCAGGGCTGAAATATTGGCACTGTCACTACTTCAGACCTGCCCAGCCTGTTGGGTTGCAGTCTAGATGGCTGCCCTGCCTGGGAAAGGTATTTAACACCTTCGAGGGACCAGCAGTAAGAGCCCTCCTGAAGAATGCATGGGGGGGGGGCATCCACTCTCTATAACTCTCAACCAGTGGCCCACCCCCATTGGACAACAGGGGCCCATACAAGGGCCCAGAAGGGAGAGGGAACTTCAGCGTGGGAGCACACAGCACAGAGCTGGTGGCCCCGTTAAGAGTGGGGTTCTGCTGGCAGGCTGGGGCCGCCTCATGCGACAGGGCAGAAGGGACTCTCTGCCTAGTGGGACTCACTCACGAGCCAGGAGGGTGAGCTCTGCAGGAGGGCGGATGTCTCAGGCCTTCTGTTGTTTTCAATATTCCAGGGCTTTCTGGGTAAAGCTGCCGGGTAAAGAAATCCCTTTGCTGAGGCTGTGTGCCTTGCTTTCCCGGGATCAAACTAGGTGCCCCCTGTGACGTTAGGAGTGTAATATAATATCTCATTGAAAGGTGACAGGGCCAGAAAGAGTTAATTACCTCACAGACTGACCTGATCCATGGCCAAACTGTAGAGACTGGTTAGGAAGATCTGTAAATGAACAGAGCTTGGAAATGCAGAGATAGGATAGATGTTTGCTCAGGGCTTGTGATGTAAGCAAACAAGTCTTGTCTAT